AAACGTTCCATATATTGTAACGTCCGTCATAAGTTATATAAAAATGAACCGCATCTAGCGGCGTAGGTCCCAATAAAACCTGAATCTAATGACACAGGCTTGTTGGTCTATCCCAGTACAACAACTTTGTCAAAGACAGTATAGCTTTATATATTGAAATAAATGAGATAATCCACCACAGCCCCCATTAGTGAAAATCCCATAAGCCGTGGGTATCCTTATTCGCGGATAGCCCGGCAATAAGGATCTGGCAATAAGGGATACCGGCAATAAGGATTCCTGACTGTATGTAGGCAGGCTTGCTGAAACTCCTCAAACTCACTGGAGGTTTTAAAACATTCTTGTCCTACGAGTTTAGCCAGCCCTCACCTCGAGTGAATGGCGACAGGAATATGGAAGAAGTAAACAAAAACTCCTCGAAAGAGAGGGAGAGGGAACTTCAGCGAGAGGATGATTTGACGTGACGCGCTTTTCGAGACTCCGGATAACTTTTTTGTTCGACGCAAAAAGCTCATAGTTCACCCAAAGTGAGAGTAATGCTGAGTTTAGACTAGGCAAGTCAAATGATCAACTCAGTTGAATTCAACTGACTTGAACGCGAATTGAACGTGTAAACCATGCCATTCAACTGACTTGATCAACTCACTTGAATTGAAAAAAGTTGAACCAGGCTCAACTTTTCAAGCCAATTGAATTCAACTGACTTGATCAATTGACTTGCCCTGTCTAAACCCAGCTTAAGAGCGTGTGATAGAAAACATGAACATGAATGGCAGCAAACCTCACTCTCATTGTATTCCCCTTCGGTCACAAGCTCTGAAGCTCAGTTGAATGAATTGGAAGTAGGCATTCTACTCCTCAGAAAATGCTACGCTCGGCTCATTTCAAACTCACGAGCGAGGCTCCATCGAGCCTGCATGTAGGTACCCAGATACTGTACCACATCTACACCTCATCGTTTATGGGTTAGGATGGAGGCGCAAGGTGATTTACTAATTTTCATTTTGTTTTCCTCATGAGGTTCGTCGCTTATTATTTTATGCAAGTTGATACATTTTTTTTGACAACATCCCTTAGTGAAATTTAAATTATGGAAATTAATGTTGATGAATTTTTGCGTAAACTGTATTTGAAATTCAACCTTTGCAAATGTTCAAAAAATCAATACTATCTGCATATTGAATAATTATTCAATATGCAGATAGTATTGATCTTTTGAACATTTGTAAAGGATTATAATCAATATTTCAAAAACCTGATTTACTTCAACAATTTTGATTTCAAAATCAAACTTAGCGACCGAAGCCCGTATTGAGGACATTTTTAAGGACTACTTCACTTGTGTCAAATCAGCCATAAACTACGCAGCAGAAGGTGCCATTAGGTTTGTGAAGAGAAAATTGACTAAACAATTGATTCGACGAGGATTGTCAGACAGTTTTGGACGAAAAGAATGCGATGATGCTATGGGGAAGCGCTCCTATAGTTGCAGTACGTTAGAAGCGTTAGGGTTCTATAGTTGTGCATGGAGATTCAATACACAACTATTGGAATCTAACGCTTCTAACGTACCGCAACTATAGGAGCGTTTCCCTACAGCAATGGACGCTTCAACATATGGAACAATGCAAACGGAAGCGAAAACAGCAAACTCGTTTTTTTCGTGATAAGAATTGTCACCTGCAAGAGACGCATAACTTCTAGGGGAAACAGCCCTATTGTCGCCGTACGTTAGCAGCGTTAGAAGCCTATTGTTGTGTATGGAGGTCTCCATACACAACAATAGGCTTCTAACGCTGCTAACGTACGGCAACAATAGGGCTGTTCCCACTATATATTTTTTTCTCTTGAATTCCTTCAAACCTAACGCTACAAACGTACCGCAACAATAGGACTGTTTCCCCTAGCATTGATTATCCACCATAAAAGCTCAAAACTCACTCATCTGGTCATATCTCAAAAACTATATATGCAAATCATTTGCCCTTGGAAACACATCAAGTAGAAGAGTTTTCCAAAGTGTGGTGAAAATTTGAGCTCAAAATATTAAGAAATTAAAACTCCCGCCATTGGTGAAAATAGGCTATTTTTTGACAATTTGGAAACTTGCCGGTAATCAGCCTGTTTACTGTAGTTACTATAAAAAAAAATTAAGTACACTTATAAGAACAAACAATAAAAAAACCTTCAAATTGACGTTCTAAGATCACGAATAGCTTATTTGGTTGTGGAGTAATCTCTTCTAAATGTTGAAATTTTGGTTGTAGCCCAGAAGGACCCAGAAGGACCCAGAAGGCACTTCAGAGCAAAATCAAGAAAGGCGTTTGTTCAGAATGCCAAAATAAGCGTTTTGGCCAAGTTTGGTTCAAATCGGTGACGTCGACCACAACTTTTAAAAATTCTGTACCCACTTGATCTGGAATGACCCATATTGATCATATTTACCCATGTTTGGGATAGAAATTTACCCATATTCTGAGTTACTCCGGTTTAATGCAATCTGGGTAAATCAAATCTACATTTGGGTTATCTGTTCTTACCGTGTAGTAATAGTGGGACGCTGAAGAAACTAGAGGCAACCTGCCACGAAAACAAGTTAGTTTGCGGAACATTGGTAGGTCAAATTTTGATGGACTAATAAAAGTAACGTAACTATGTTGTCTTAAACGTCATTTAGCTTAGTGGAGACGTTATCGTACTAAGAACTATAGAAAAAAATATGGACGTTCTTTTCGAAACTGAGGTAAAATTCCATAATGACCATAACGTAAAAATATGCAACTTCGGTGAAAATTCAAGAAGGTTGCGTGTGATCAGTTCGTCTTTTACTCAACTGTAGCAAATTTTGATGAACCTCACATTGAATTGGTATTAATGAAGGGAACAATACTTATCTCTTGACACCTTTTCCAGTTGATATCCAGAAGCATTCGAATGATAATGATAAGAATAACCTAATGGGGCGTATAGTGGGGAAACGATTCTGATGGAAATATACTATGTCAATCCAAAATGCTAATGGAGAATATCAACTACTGGAAGAGATGTCAATTAAACAACAAATAAACTAGGGTGGTAAAGCAGAATGTGTAAAATTCATGTGATAATAAAATTAATCGAATTGGAATACATTGACCATGGTGTGTAAATGTGGATGTGTGTGTATATTTTAGAATGTGGTTTAGATTACAACATCTTGGATTAGGTATGAATCTATGAATGTACAGAACGGATCGACCAACGGAGCATATTGTTGCACATTTGAATACTCTTATGTCAGAAATAACTTTTTGTAATCAACATATTGTTACTTATAAGTGTTATACATAATTATATGAATGCTATAGTCATTCAAATCAGAAAAAAAGCAGCTAAGGTTTTTGTTCGCTCAAACGTCTTCCGCCACTATCACGTAAGACTTTGTATTCTGTCGAAGAGGCATCGATAACAAAGTTAGTTCCTAAATGTGAAAGCAACAAACGCGTTACATACACTACGTGGTGGGAGCTACCTACCGAAGGCACTTCCACATTAACCCGAAAAGCGCAAGCGAGCGGAAACGATTCAATGAGCGTGACGTAAGCGAAAATTATGCAAACAAGGATGTCGCGATTCATTTACGTGCCGTTTTGTCTACCATGATCCAGCACTCTGCGGCACAGTGACGGAACTGTTTTGTCACTGGGGTTGGACGTTGACTACCTACAAACCTAAATGCTGCTGGAGTTCATTTTTTCATTCCACTTTTGAAAAAAAAAAAGACTACGAAACAAAGCCCTAGTGTTGTAGAACACAAATGATCAATCAGTGTTGGAATGGTGTCAATAATGCTGCCAATACGAAACATACAAATTGTGCAAATCACACAGCTATATTGGTTTCTGGTCACACCGTATTCATCGCGATTTACTAGTGGATGCTCTCCCGTAAAGTTATTACATTATTGGTACTATTTTCAACACTGATGGCCTCGAATGATTTCAATTGTTCTAGCAGTATTTCAATGGTTTTGAGGGCTAGCCATGGTTCGTTGGACGCAATGAATCTATTTATTATTGGCCACTAATGGGAGTAGTACTGTATTGCAAAATGTATACCGCCAAAATGTATATATCAGAAGTAATTCACAATGTTCTCTTATAAACATATTTTAACTATAATTGCAATTCTATTTCATAGAAACAAAAATCCCCGATGAAATCTAGTAAATAGCAGCAGCAAAATAGCTAAGCGTTGGAAAGGCATTTATGGTGAAGCATGAACTTTGCAAAGCACGCGTCTTGTCAAACCATGGGCTATTTATCGTAAAATTATAATGTCAATTTAAGTTAATAGCGCGATAATTTGGTTAATTTTTTCATCATTATCTCTTTCTGTCAGTGTAGCTGCTATGGCCGGTGCCATTTACTATTGCTTGCAGTAGGATATTCATGGCGATGGGGTGGGCTGGTATGTTACGATGGGCAAGGCTGGTTCCGGTGAATTTCGATTTGCAGAGTGCGTGGCGCTGAGGTCCTGTCCTGAGTGATGTATTTTTAGCAAACGACTGAACATCCTTCTAAATGACTTTTTATGTGCTGGGGCGGTGGAGGCTTATGTCAGTAGGTAGCAACGCCAGTATCGCCAGGCATCATTAAAATGGGAAGGAAGTGATTTAAGCCATTCCTGCTAATGTGCTTTTATTAGGGTGGCACGTCAATAGGGGAAACAATATTGAAATGTTAATCAGAAGAGCAGAGTGATGACGCAAAGTAAGATGGTAGAATTTTGCTACAAATTTTCCCTTTCTACTACAAATCCTAACTTTTGAACACATATCAAATCACAACTCGAAACAAGGTTTAATTCAATATATGAAGGAACGTATGTACAATACAAATCACTAAAACTATTTTGAACCATCAAATATATACCAAGGTAAGTAAATAAGGGGTCAACATCTAACAGAAGACAACTTTTTTTTTGGATGCAGCATGTAAGTAGTGGAAGAAAAAATGTACCTTTGACGTGCAAAAACAACACTCAAACTCGGATGGCAGTTCAGTATCGGATTTGTCCCGTTTACTAGTGGAAGAAGTTTCTATAGCAACTTGACGTCGTAGTTCTTCTACTTCCTAGAACGAGTGGGGGTGGTTAATTTGAAAAAAGAGAAACGAAATGAAGGGGGCTTGATGGCAAGGGCGGGCGGGGGTCGTAGAAGAAAATGAAAAATATATCGAAGAAATTCAAATGAACAAGGCATATTGAGGGGGGGGGGGGGTAGTTGGTCGCTGGTGATTATGAAGAATGTCCGCATGGAGGATAACGAAAGTTTGTGCAAGAGCGAAAGGGACAGCAAACGAAATAACAGTGGTGTGCCAGTTATACTGCGAAGAAATATGTGGGTGGGAAAAGTGGAAATTAAATTTTAGAGGGGTGGTAAGAAAGTGAGTGGATTGAATTAGCGTGGAATGGAAAAAAAGACATGCACTTTGGAATAAGTTTTAGATAGCCTAGGTTAGCGCAAACGGTATTGAAAGACTTTCTGATGTTCCGGAAATTAAAGTTCAATTTGTGTCAAAACCCATATAGCTTCCTGGAGAATAAAGTCATATTTTTGGGGTGCTGGGAGTAATACAGCTGATTTTATCATGATTCAGACATCCTATTGATTGTTGTATTTTCATTTTTTGATCTCATTCCTCTAAATATTTTGAAAGTGTCCTTACGTGTCACTCTACCTTACATCACAGACTTATTTAATTTTTGTATAACCACTTCAGAATTTCCATGTTCATGGAAAGTGGCTAAGATTGTTCCTATTGGTAAGATTGACAATCCAACTACAGAAAAGGATTATCGACCTATTAGCATACTTTGTGCTCTGTCGAAAATTTTTGAATCAATTCTATCCAAACAACTAAACGAATATCTTAATAATCATAATCTGCTATGTTCTTTACAATCCGGTTATCGTAAGAACTGCAGCACGATTACAGCTCTAATAAAAATTGAAGACGATTTAAGAAATGCTCTTGATAACAAAATGTTAACCGTGATGGCGCTCTTAGATTTCAGCAAAGGATTTGATTCAATTGATCATCGGAAACTCTGCAATAAACTCGCTAGTTGTTTTAAAATTGGTAATTCCTCAGTGAATTTAATTGAATCATATTTGGCTGGCCGATCACAGTATGTTGAATTTAATAACATGCAATCCAATTACGTGCATGTTCTGAGTGGGGTTCCTCAGGGATCCATCCTGGGACCCCTACTTTTTTCTATGTTCATCAATGATATGCCCAACGTTTTATCAAATTGTAAATTTCACTTATATGCAGATGACTGTCAACTATACATCTCTGGCCAATTGAATAATATTTCTGAAACTATATCATTATTAAATAGTGATATAGAAAATATCTTAAAATGGTCTTATTTTGAACAGGGCAAAAACACAAACTATTATTTTTAGATCAAAACGAACTGGTATTTAGGATATCCCATTAGTTAAAGTGGGTGGTGATATCATTATGTATTCTGAAACAATTAAAAACCTTGGTATTGTAATGGATTGTAACCTCAACTTTAATGCTCAAGTCAATGCTGTGTGCAGCAAAGTTTATTGTACGCTTCACTCCCTAGTTTTGTTACGTCACTCCACGCCTCAACATATCAGACTTCAGTTTGCTAGATCCTTGATCATTCCGTTATTTTTGTACGGGGATATTCTCTTTAGTTTAACTTCTAAGACAAATACAAAGAAATTAAACTTGGTATTTAATGCCGTTACCAGATACGTATACGACCTGCGGAAATACGATCACATTTCTAACTTTTCTAATTTATTACTCGGCTACGATTTCGTCAACTACATGAAACTTAGAATGTGTATTCAAACTTTTAAAATTTTAAACGAAAGTCCGATATATCTTCGAAACTTCTTTATTAACTCACAATCTTCTAGGTCAAGTGTTTTAATTATTCCAAGATGCTCGACACATTTTTTAAGTGAATCAATGCACTATCGTTCGATACGATTATGGTATGAACTACCGAGGGAATGCAAGACAGCAAGAAGTTTAACAACATTCAAAAACTTATGCAGCAACTACTTCAGTTAGGTTAATAGGTACATCGGTAGTGTAATAGTAGCATATACTCTGAAAATCATTAGTAGATTACTTGTGCTATTATTCTTGTATTGTATAAATAAATAAATAAAAAAATAAAAAAAATTATGAGTTTTAGATTTTTATAAAAGATGAATAGTATTTTTTTATATCCTGAACGGACGTTTGGTTCCGGAGATATTTTAAAAGAGAATTTACACCGTCTTCAACTAGAGGTTGCACAGTCCGAAAATTTAACAATGGACAATACACAACACCCAGTATAACAGCAGGGAGATTTTCTTAATTATTTTTACGAAAAGGTCCACAGACTGGAGTGGGAATCGAACCGTCACTTCGTGGCACACACAATACGCCTGAACGACGGGTGACTGCTGAAGACCACAACAATAAAGTGAAATTTCACTATCACACTGTATATCTCAGAGAGTGGGGGAACAGTCCAAGCAACCAAAAGTTCTGCATTTCACGATAAAAAAAAACCACTTTCACGTTCATATAAAGTTCAAACTGAACTTTTTGGTTGCTTTAGAAGCTAAAGTAAGTACACGAGGAACTTCAAGCTCCAAAAAGTACCGATTCGAACTCTTAGTACTTAGAAGCTCAAACAAAGTTCTAAAAAGCACTTCTTAGGAACTTCAGGCATAGTGAGCATAGCCGCAATAATGTTCCGAATAAGTTCCCTGCGGCACTGCTTAACAACTCTACAGTGTCTTAAAAATTCTGTCGAAGGCCTCATGCAACAATCCGCACAAGTCTTTATTTGTAGTAGTATTTCATGTACGTAAATATGAAAGGATCAGTGGCTCACATAAATCACAATTGTTATATCTATGCGGTGTATCATTATTGAATCCTAATATTAAAAAGGAGCATTTCCTGGATTCGAACCTGTGCATTCTGCATACGATATACAAACGTTAATTACTGCACCACAAGTGTGTAGGGATACCATGCGGGGAAACACTGATTTGAAATTCATCAAAGAGTTGTATTTCACGGTCCAGTCAGTCAGCCGGCGCTGAAAACTCCAACAATAGTCGGGACAACAGCTTACTTTAATATATTTCAGATGGCCTAGTGTTTCTTGCTGAGGCTCTCACACAGAAGGACTGAGTTCTGTTCTTCAAACAGCTCCTAATACTAATACTAATCAACCTGTAACACGATCATGAAGGACACTAGCGTTCAAGTTCTGTTAGAAACTGCTTAGAATGCTATTCAATTATGGTATCGGAACTTTCAAGTTCGTATAATGACTTATAAAAGAGGCTGCTATGCTATAGACTAGTGTGACTGAGTCTATATGCTATAGACTAGTGTTTCCATTTTTCGGCCATTTTTGGCTTCCCGGGAAACAAGAAACAGCTGATGGCTCTTTCCGTGAATTCCAGGGAAACGGAAAATATTTGTGTTCAAAGTGCAGAAGGATAATAAGTTAAATTTATGGCATCAGAATGTTTATCTCTGAATTTCTGTACAGCGATTTATAATATGGAAAATAGTATATGCACAATTTTAATATTTTTACTTCCATCGGGAAATTTTTCCGAGCTGCGAAAAGATTTTACTTCCGACCTCTCCGGGGTTTTTTTTTTCAATTTAGGACCCTCGTGAGTTGTTCTTGACCCAGAAGATATGACCGAAGTCTCCCAGAAATCTCTTCCAATTTTGCTGGAAATATTCATCTGCACATGTTCTTCTGACGGTAGCTTCTTTTGACTTCCGCTGGGAGGTTCATAAGTAAGTTTCCTAAAATGTCAGTGGACGATTACATTTCGTCGTTTTTAACTACCTCAGAATTTATTTCGACATCTTCGGATAAGTTTTTTTTTCTTCGCATGAAAATGATACTTTCATCACCCGGTCCGGTCTACAGTGGGACGAATTAAAAAAGTGGGACATAGCCATTTGCGACGAAACTATTGAGTGTAGCATTTTGATGTCTTGTAGAATGTTTCTTTTTTATTTTTGAGTACTTTATTTAAGCGGTGAAATTGTTTGCTTAAGGGGCGTATAAGCTAAGAAAAAAAATGATGTCTTGTAAAAATTGATGAACGGAAACATTGTAGGTGAAGTCATTTTAAGCAACTTTGTCCAAGCCGACAATTTTATATCTCTCAAGTGGACGCTATTGGATGAAAATGGAGTACAAACGGTACCCGAGCAAAGTTGAATATCAAAATAATATCAAAATGATATCAAATTATATTTTTGAAATCATATTGATCACATATTTTGATATCCTATTTTTTTTTAATTTTAGTTGAATTCATATTTTGATATTATTTTCATATATCTAAAAAAATAGTTAAAAACAAAATTTGATATTTTATGAAAAGGGCATTCTCATTTATCACTGAAATCTATTTATTTTTTTTTCTGAAGAGTCAATCAGCATGCTTGCTGATTTCTTTATAAACATCTCAAAGACAATTATGATTTTTACAGTTATAGTTTACAACATTTATTGATATTAATCTACCTGCGAATTTAATTTACAAATCGATATGAGATAGATATCGATAGAAATAATTGAAAAATAGGTTTATTTTTATTTTGAATAAATGTAAACTCATTCATAACATTTTGCGATTTTGAATCTTAATATTTATCTATTGGTAAACATTCAGATTACTAAATTTGATATCATGATATCAAAATAATAACTAATTTAGTTTATTTGTATTTTTTGTTTTCCTTCCATTGTTATAATAACATATTGATTACTTATTTGGTTATTATTAACGAAATAACTGATATCAAAACGCATACATAGATTATAAATCAAGAAAACATGATTTGTTATCTTTTTAATATCCTTCATATGCCATTTAGATCTCATTTTTGTTATGATTACTGTTAAATCGACCACACGGTAGGCAAAATATGTTATCACGAACGCTTATATCAAAATATCAAACTTAGTTTTCATTTTGTTTTCATTCTCTGTTCGGGTAGTACCCCCTTAAAAACTGTTTTTTACCATAACTTTTTTGTTT